GGTTTCTTCACCATTGTGCAATCATGTGGCTGATTTGTACGTTCAGTTCATAATTCAGCCAGTTTTAATATTTCAGTTATTAAAAAATGCATAGAAATATGGGCTGAACAATAAGGTGCACTGTACTTTTTCTAACACTAACCCCAACATAATGTAGAGGTAGGAATGCAAAGCTTGAAGCTGAGATCACCTGGTAATAAATTTCCAACCAGCATTAGTTTGGTAATTGGCATTGGGCAAATCATTGACACCCTCAGTTCAATTTATCTTGAAAACATTTTCCATAATATAAGCTTAGTTAATATGACATGAATTGAATGCCATGAAGGAAGGGTGGAATGCTAGTGGGATGATGAAGCTCTACAACTGTTTTCTTGCACAATGAGTTAGAAACATTGGAAGCTGTTTTATACTAAATTTGATCCCTATGCTCAGCATTTTCAACACTGACCAGTTTGGATGACACTGAACTCTGCAGGAATTTTTTTCCCAGTGTTACCCAGAGATGAGTTGGGAGGTGGGGTCATTCAAAACCATTTGTTCTCCATTGAGAAATGGGCTTTCCCTAGTGATCCATTAATGCAGTTAGCTAGCAGTAGCCATCAGGCAAACTGCAAGGCAGATCTCCAATGTCTAATTAAGGTGGTAATAAAGCTAATTATTGGATGCCAGAAACCATTCCCAGCTCCTCCTGCATCCTGGGGGCTATGTGTTTTTGGCCAAGCTAAGAAACAGAGTTCCAGTCCATCTCCTAATATAATATAATAAATTCTATTAAGGTATTATAGAATCAATATAGTCATAGACTGAATGATTCAACCCACTTTAAAAATGGTCTTTGGAATCAGATTAGAATTAAGACCATTTTTATCCTTATTAATTGTTCCTCTTGGGAAGTCTGGCATCTGACTCAATAGCCTTCAGGAAAATAACTATATTACAATTAAACTACTTATTAACTAAGCTGTAGATGGAAAGCTGAGGATATGAATACTGTCTATGCTTTTCAGTCCCTGAATGGGACTGAATGAGGAATGGAAATGTTGGGCATATTTGTTTGCTGTATACAAAAAAGCCACCCAGAGTCCCTTGGGAGTTGGGCGGCATAGAAATGCGATAAATTAAATTAAAATTTGCTGGGAAAGAACACCAGGCCCAGACTCTTCAACTTCCATCAGCCCAAACTAACATGACTAGTAGAGAAGGATTTTGTGAGCCCAGAATACCTGGAAAGTTCCAGGTTACCCACTGCTCTAAAACATACTCCAGAATCCTTTGAAATGTGTAGGTGTTCAGAGTAGACTTGGACACATGATAGTCATTGACTTGGTACGGAGGAACTTTTGGCAAACCTTATGAACACCAGAGTGGAAACATGACTGTTGCAAAGAGATATGTTATGCTGGAGAAGAGGAGAAGCAAGAGAAAAGTTAAGTCTGGCTTAATTATCCTATTTATAAATTAATCTGGAGAATTGCTTTAGCAGGTTTTCAAGATTCTATTACATTATCCTATGAATAATAAAGATCTTCCCAAATATTTAAATGGTTCTTGCCTTCTGAGTTTGCCAATGTCACAAGGATTGACATGTGGGAATTTTATGTAAGTCTGAAAAACACTTTAGCATGGCATCAACTGTTTATCCTGCAAAATTCTAATTCCCATGACATGGCATATAAGAGTAACAGCTAACATTGTACAACCGGACTTCACTAAAACTCCCATTTACTGTCCTCCCTTCCTGCAACCTCTCTCATATACAGATTTATTCTGATTGGTCCCCACTCCATACTTTAGACCACATTTTCTAGAGTATGATAGGGGAGGGAGGGAGGTATGAGCAGACACCGTTTGCTATAGTTCCTAAATACAGATATCAAACACTTGGACAATGTGTAAATATTCTGAGAAGAATTGGAGAATTGTCAGGGTGACAGTGCACAGTCACAATGAGAATATTTGGGAGGATTTTGTGATGGAACATTAGCCAAGCCAATTTTTCTCATTTCAGCTGAACTAGTTTAGCAAAATAATCAAGGTGTTAGATATAGATTGGAGAGGTCCAGGTCAAGTCCTCATTAGTCACAGAGTTCATGAGTGAGTCTGACCAGTCATCATGTCTGTCTCTCTGTCTCTGTCTCTGTCTCTGTCTCTGTCTCTGTCTCTGTCTCTCTGTCTCTGTCTCTCTCTTTCTCTCTCTCTCTCTCTCTGTCTGCATCAATCTATCCATCCAAGCAATAAACTTGTAAGCTACTCAATCACATAAGAGCCCTAAGCAATTTATATTTTAAGATTAAAAACTACAATACAATAAGATATTAATCCAATCTAATATCAGACAACCCACCCTGCCTTAAGGAACTGTTGCTCTGTATTTAAATCAGGGAAGACCACTATGAATGCTACCTTGACCAACAACAAAACATAAATGCCAATCACTCAGTCAATGAAGACTCTTCCCCCCCCAATGCTGTTCTCTCTCCCATTTGCCAATGCTCTGAATCTAGAGCAAAACAGAGCAGCTGAGGACATCAGAGAAAACCACTTGGCCTGCCATTATTGCCCTTATTTCTTGAGAGAACAATAGGGGAGGAGCTATGCTAAGCTATGCTATATTACTTTCTATCAAGATCTGGAGGCCACACTCAGCTGCCAGGCATCCAGCTTCCAAATATTGTAAGTATTTACAAGCTTACTTAAAAGTATGGCCAGACTCTTCAGGGGCTATAGAATGCAACTTCATCCCCTGTTGCTTAGCAATGCTTAATGTAGGGAGGAAGCAAAGATCTGAGATCCTGTTTGGTGGAATTCAGGAGTCTGAGGTGAGAAGGCTTTCTTTCAGCTTCAGCCTTGATGTATTCAAGGGAGAGCTGCCATGGAGACACTCTCTCTCGTGGTGGGTAATCTTCAGCAAGCCATGTTCAGCACAACTGATATGATAGGTTCTGCGACCTCTGTGGACATGGCATGAGGATAAGAGATTCTCAGGCAGCTTTTCAAAAAGAAAAGGCATTTGTCAGAATAAAACATCTACTAACAATCAGATAACTATTGAAATAATGGACATAAAAAGTGATGTATTGAATGTATATAGTTGTGTTAAAATGAAACTAACCTTTAGATGACCCTAACTGTTAACTATGACAAAGTGAACTTAATTTTTAGATGAACCCAACTGTTTTGGGGGGAAATTTAAAACATTTATATTTGGGCGGGCTTTTTCTAGTTCTATGATTGATTAAGGCCCTGTGAGCCTAGAGTATAAATAACAGGCATTTGCCTGCAGTTCCTCAGTTCCCTTTTTGAGTCAATAAATACTGTTGCAGTTATGCTGGTCTGGTTCTTGCCTACTGAAGCCCATTACACGATAAAAAGAACCATGGCCCTTACACCTCAGAAATCTGAAACAATGGTTCTGAAGTATGGATATACAAACCTTTATCCCTCCAGGGCAACCCATTTCAATAGAGGATAGATGTAGCCTAGATATCAGAAACCAATTCTGGGGTTATGTTTGAGAAAAAAAGGACAAAATAAATAAATACACAGCAGTTGTAATTTCTTTTCTATACCTTTTGGCCATAACTAAAAATCACCTTCCACCCTGTCTTCTGTTAACCTTTCCAATGCACTTGCACTGTGGGTGGAGAGGAACAGAAAAATGGAAGGATCCTATTATGCAACGTTCAATGCCAGTTTTTCCCTATATATATATATATATATTACTTTCTCTTACCGCAGCTATTTAAATTGCAGAATATACCATAACCACTTTATAATAATAAGAAATAGAGTGAACAGTAGAATGCCTGTATGAGATTTTTGTGCATCCCGTCCAAGATATTACCCAACTGCCACTCTTCAGGTACAGAACTTTAGTCAAGCTCATTTAGTTTAGTTATTTTCCTAAATGTGTCTTAAATTTATTTTATTTGATTATTTATATCCTACCTTCATTATTTCTACAAATAACTCAAGGTGGCAAATACATCCAACATAACTTCCTCCTCCTGTTTTCCCCATAACAACAACTCTGTGAGGTGAAATTTGGGTTAGTCCAAGTCTTGCAGCAACAACAAATTATTATTTCTATTTATACCATTACTTAGTGGTATTAATTCAACAGTCAAGGACCTGGGACAGAGAAAAACCTATTTCAGAATAAGAACTTGTCTTTAAAAATCCTGCATGCTCTTCCTAATTATACTATCATTCTTACAAAAATGGATAGAGGTTTTCCTTTTCAAAATGCTATATGATATACAATATACTTAGGAAACTGTCATCCCGGGGGGAGGAGGGCTCAAGTAGGGAATTAGCTTAGACTCACTACATAAACATGAGGGACCAAGGTCCAACACTTCCAACACTTCCCAAATGCCTCCAACTTTGTCTAGTCTTTTCCAGGCGAAAGCTGCCAGTCTGGGGAGATTCCTGTACTATAGGCAGGAAACAATAAAGTAGCTAGTTCAAACTTTACACATATGGGTCTGGTTGTTCACGTCTGACAGAGAGACTGGTTTATCCTAAGACAAAACAATCGATGCAATGAATGCAAGATTCGCTAGAATGACTGAGATTTGCTCAACAAGGTTTTTAACAGAGGCCTTTCCTGTATGGACATATCAAGGACTAAACCTAGGGCCTATTTACTTACTCATGCTTAGCAAAAAAAAAAAAGTTTATCCACAAATGAAATGATAACCTAGGTACATAAACTGTGTTATTTAAATTGGAATAGCAGGATTAAAACTAAGTGAATCTAACTATTACATTCTGGGAAAAATTATCTGAAAAAGTTGAATTTTAATGAAAGGGTAGAAAGAGACTGCTCAGAGGTGGGAAAGATGTTCCCATGCCCTTCTGTACCAAAGGAGCCCATTTGGCTATTACTCCCTCTGAGACTCGTATCTCAGGAAGAGAGAAGACCTAAACTATAGGGTCCCCTGCTAATTTTTCAGGATGGGAAAGGCAGTCTTTGAACTCAGTTTGGTACTTACTCCCATTCTTTCCGCCTTGCCTGTGGTGTGCTCTGCATTTTATGAGCTTCATGAGCCTTGATGATATCTCGCTGTTCAATCAGTCCGCCTCGTCGGCGTTTGATGACTTCAGGGCTCACAGGGATGAGTTGGCTTTGCCCTAGATCAAAGGTGCTGCTACCATCCAAACCCAGAGTGGATTCTCTCTCCTGCGATCGCAACTCATAGAGAGCATCAAAGCTGGTAGTACGTGAGATGAGGTTGTCTGGCTCCAGTAAGCTACAGGAATGAGCAGGCTGCATCAGACCCAGCCGGTGCTTCCGCCATGCTTCTTCCTCCGGTAGGGCCAGCACATATCTTTGGGTTCCACTGCCCAGCTCAGTGGTGGTTCCTCCAGGAGAAAAAGAACCTGCCTCAGAGAGCATGTGAGCACTTAGGGAACATGTGCCAAGGCTGAGCATCATGAATACCATTCAGGAACATCACTCTAGAAGAGGCAAAACAAGGGGAAAATAGTTACTGACAAGTTTCTTCCTATGGTCTAGTTTAAATGGGAGAAGAAAGACTATACACTGGGTGAGATTCTACCAGTTTGGACTGGTTCAGGCAAACCGGTAGCTCTGACGATCAGCTGGGAGCAAACCGGTTCACCCTGACAATCAGATGGGCCCACCCGCTCACCCGTGCTATTTTCCTACCTTTATCTTCTCAGCTGATTCGTGCGGCAGAGCAGATTGCCGTGCCTCAGCTGTGTTTCTCCTTCGAAGAAACACGGAAGTGAAGATTTCTTCAAACTGTGCACACACGCACAGCGCACATCAGGCACACCTGCACGCAAGGCACACACACACACACACACACACACACACACACACACATATACAAAGTACGCAATCACCGAACCGGTTGTTAGACCGGGAAGATCACACCACAACTATACATAATAGAGACTATCCTCTGAAAAAAGCTGCCTGTGTGTGTTTTACCCTTTTAAAAGCCAACATAACCTAATAAATGAACAAGATCAGAACCTGGTTGTTAGAAGGAATGTGGGACGTACTTATTTCACACCTTCCTGTAATATCCTGTGAGATGAATTTCAGCCTGAAAGTGATTGTGACATAATATTCATGCCCTACAGGCACAAGCATTTCAATCTATTGCAAGTAATGCAGTGGATGAAAATCCTACATGCAAAAAGTCTCAACTCCCATTCAATTATAGCTTTTTTTAAAAACTGCTAGTTTGTGCAGGAAAGACTGAACTAGGTGGGTTTGCAGTCTTTACTCAATGTAAGGTAGCTCCTTATATTTCCATAATGTTCCTAGCAGGAAATGATGGGATTTTGTAAATGCCATTCAGGCATCTCATGCATAACCCTGTATTTTCTGCAAGGTCAGTTCCTTCAAGCAAGGTATCCTTTTTGAATCTCTGTCTAGATGAAGTGGATAATGGAAATGGACATCTCTGTTTCTTGGTTACTCCATGTAAGAAGTGGACATGGAATTGTAGTAGAAGGAGATACGCTCACAAATATCTTATTTTTATTTCTCACACACACATTTTCGAAATTCTATTTAGATATCCCCAATTCTGCAGTTTCCACAGTGTTAATCTATGAGCTCAAATATTCCCATTCAAAATCACTGTTAGACATCTTGCTTGGGAATTATGGAAGTTTTGCAACAAAACTAAATGACATTAGATGAGAGAAGGCATTAAATGTTACAAACAATAGCCCAAGGAGGCTAACATCACATTAAATCTGGTATCTAAAGACCATGTTCTGTTTTTATTTATTAAAAATAGTAATGCAGAAATAAAAGTTTTTACAGGATATTGCCAGACACTATTATAGCTCAGGGCTTGTTGGTGACTTTTCAATGCAAACTGATGTTGCTAGAAATAACTAAGGAGGTGGCAGAGGTTAAGAGAAGAAATCCAGAGAGGAGGCATATCAAACATCAGCCTGAAGGCACTCTTATGTATTGAAATAGCAAATACATTTTGCAATGAAAATATGTGTGCGGGCAATATACTGATGGATATTTATTTGATCAGCACTATAAGAAGTGAGTCTCTAATGTAGATTGGAGTCAAAGTTTTAAAAGTGCAGAGAGAATACTGTATTCACTGAATCAGTAGGGGTTATTTTATTCATTACTTACTTAATTTATAGAAATGTAGTTGAATCTTTTATGGGAGACCCCAAAGTAACACACTACTATCTTCAGTAGATCCAATCTTGGCTAATGATAGATGTTTAGACAACATGCCAAGTTATATAGAAGTTCATATCAAGCAGAACAGAAAGATCTCAAATTCCCATTCATGGTGACAATAAAGTTGCCCACTCATATAAACCCATACAATTATTTCTAATTGATAATGTCTGAAGAGTTTAATCCTATAGATAATTTATTTGGTGGGAAGAATCAAAGCAAAGAGATAGGATGAACAGTCCTAAATTTCAAAGATAGATAACATCTATACATGCATCACACTAGACTAGTAAAATGAGGGTGAGAATATTCAGCCCTGATGTCAGATCATTACGTCGTTATGGGCAATGGCTCTGTTTGTTGCTGTTAAATACTATATTAATCTGTACCAAAGCTTCCCTCATCCATGACTTATCAAGGATGAAGTGGTTAACTTGGAATGTATAATCAAAACCTGGGTGCACTTAGAAGATGGTGTTTCCCTCTTTGAATTGGGGTTTTGATTAGGGCATCATTGGGGTTTTGACTAGGGCACCAGCCATGAACCCAGGGAGGGATGTGGGGGACAGCCATTGTTGTCTGGGAAGCTCAAGTAGCCCCTGCATCACAGATAACCAGATGTGAGACCAAATGTGCGATCCTGTCATTAAAGTTGGAGCAATTATGTTTGTTGTTGCAGTACCAACTGTGCAGCAATATTTCTGCCTGATCTGTTCAGTTCTGCTGCTAAAGACTTTAACTTGTTCTCATTTGAGATAAAGGCTGGACTGGCTCAGAAGTTTATGGCTCACATGGAACACACACAGGGCAGTCACATGTTAGATTTATCATTTGTACCAGGATAGCTGTAATGTGAACTAAGCCTAGACTTGCAGCTCTTTCCTGTAGCAGGAAGTAATTTGCATAGAATTGACTGATGTGCCAGACCTTTTCATAGTCATCTGTGCTTTAATAACCTTATGTAGGACTATTCCAATGTGCTCTTCATGAGACTGCCCTTGAAGACCACTCAGAAACCATACCCTTTCAGAATGCAGGGGTGTCACAGTTCTGGGTATGCCCCAACATGCCTGCATAATCTTTCTGCTTAGGGAGCTGAACTGGTTGCCAGTGAATGTCTGGATGTATTTAGGATGCTGTTTGACACCTGGCATATGAGAGATCCCTTTCTTTCATTGTTTCCATCCATCCAGGAAAAATCTAGCAAAGAATTGACATGCTCTGAATTCTATCTGTTAAGGCACCTGATGGGGTCTAAGAACTGTATCTTGTGTTGCATTCTGGAATAGAATCCTTGTAAAGTTTCAAATATTCTGCTATCCTTGGACTAAATCTTGTAGACCTAGTTTCTTCCTCAGGTTAGGCTACAACATGTGTCCATTTGGACTGGATTATGTTTGGTGTGTCTATACTATGTTGGCTCCTTCTGGTATTGCCACATTTTTTTAATTGGTTAAATGTATTGTGAGTTTGTTTTAAATCTGCATGCCATCCAGAGTTGCTGTGAGTTCAACAGCCTTATAAATCTAAATTACAAATAAACATAACCTGATATGCTGTAATGCTGGGAAAGGATTAATACTTTCTTACATTCAATGTCCCTAATTTTAAGAATGACTATGGATTCAAATTTGAATTAGGGGATCCTATGATCCTGCACAGTCTTGGAGGTAAAATTAAATTAAGTTCTGCCTGGGAAAATGGCAGAAAGAACTTCCCCCTGGATTTTGATCCTAATCTGATTAGTGAACCTCTGAGGCTGTACAGGACCCCATTTTATCCACAGACACAAACCTGTTGTTATCCATTGACATGTGATTAAAGTTGTCATGGAAGAGCTGCAGTAAGTTCAATCATTATATTTGTATGAGTTTGGCTGGTGTGATTATTGTGATTAATTCTATGATTACAGTTTTGTCTAAACCAGCCATGTTAGGAAGCCATGCAAGCTTGCTTGTGACTAATAACCAGAACCCTTTTTTCAACTCTTTTTTAATGTCATATCCATTAAAGGAAGATAATGACGGAATGAAGGAGGCTGGGAAGTTCATCTGTAGTCAGTTATAATTGAATATGGGATATTCTGCAAACAGTACAATCCGCATCCTGCTTTGTTTATTTGTTTGCTTCCAATATATACTGTTATTAGAAAGGTATATGGTTTAAATTTTTATCCCTCTTTTTCTTTTTCGCTTTCTACCCCTCATCTATCCATCCATCCCTCACTATTACTATTTTGCTGTTTTCTTCCAGACTGGAGCCTGCACTGTTATAGCTTCAGCAGAGGCTGTTGTTTATTTAAAAAAAATCAGGACCATGGTCAGTTCATTCCGGAATTGAAGACAGAATTAGCTAGAGACCACAAACTAGTTGCATACAGAAAAATTCTATATCTGCTACTTGTCATTTGATAAATGAAAATGGGCTTTAGAGTTCTTTTTTTAAAAAATTTCAAAATAATTCTAATTACTGGAATGTTCTTGCCCTTCATAATGAACAGAAGGGAGCAAATTATGTAAATGTCCTATCATTCATTGTGTTTTCATCTCTCCTGCGATTTGGGGTACTTTCCATGACTTTCCCCACTTCAATTCAATTATGAAAAAAGACATAATGAGGAAATTCCTCCCATTGCTGTTTTCCAGTCTGGGAAATGTGGGTAGCCAGGAAAGCTTCAGAGTGATGGAAAGATGGCTCCATCTGTCATCCACAATAGTAAAATAAATGTAAAATCACTTCCAAGAGAGATCTAAATAAATTCTCAGGCATCTTAAGAATAAATATAGTAACATGGAAAAATGTTTTGCCATGGAAGAAAATGTGGGACATTCTCAGATTTCAGCACGCATTACTCTCGTAAATTTAGAACCGTCGGGTGGTTCTACCAATAGCCAGGAGCCAATGCAAGCCTGCTTGGTCCTGAAATCAAGCAGATGTCTCCAGCACTCTTCCCTTGAAAAAACCAGTTTTAATTTAGAGAATCCATTATGATAACTGCAAGAAATAGAGCTATTCTGAGGAGTAACCAGAGATTCAGGGTGGTGGGGGGGAAGAGAATTCATGAAATAATCCATGAAATCCCATGAAATAATTCATAATTACCTCTCTTGACCGGGATCAAACTTAATCATAATTATAGCAAGGAACTAGACTGGAGGCTTCATATTGTTCAGGCAAATGGGGTTAGCTGCTTTTTAGTATAGCCTCATAAAATGTCTCATTCATCCAAATCCTGCATTTTTCAATATAAAGGATTAATGGGCTCTCTTTAGAGTGCATTGAATATCTGATCAGTAGATTTTGAAGTATTGTTCACACATAAGCAAGCTATTCCTCATTTGCTTAATTAGCCATCAGTCACAAAGTCTTTGGCAGAAAATAATCTGATGATAGATAGATAGATAGATAGATAAATAGATAGATGGATGGATGGATGGATGGATGAATATCACTTATATGCAAGATCTCATGTGAGTTGTCATTTGATTCAATTGAGTCATTTATCTTATAACCGAGGAGTATTAAATTATCTAAAGATGATTAAATGATCTACAGCTAAAATCTAGTGAGGTGGTAACTACATCTGTGTCTGATTTATACTCATGAATGAAGGCAAATATACGTGCACCAGGATAATGTTGCAGGATCCAATCCAAGACCAGAGGTTTAGTCTTCCAAACTTTCAGACTCTTGCTGGAGCCCAGCCTCAGGGAACTTCTCTCTCACCAGAATGCATTCCCTGAGGATGGCCTCCAGCACAAGTCTGAAAGTTTGGAAGACTAAACCTCTGGTTCCTGTGATTGACCCAGATTGGATCCTGTTGTGTACTGTATGAGACAGTTAAGTGGGATATATGGTGTAACATTAAGTGACTGAATATTTTCCACACAAACAGTTCACTCCACCCAAGAGCAGCAACATGCCTGGGGAAACATTCTAAACTAATCTTTAGCCTGCTGGTTTCTTTGCTTAAATTTTTAATTAGACATTCCTTTTTTTAAAAAAAAAAGAGTGACACCAATGCACAACCATATAGTGATCTGAATAGCTAAAGTTACTTACAATCTGCTGTGAGATTTCAGCAAGATCTCACCACACAAAAGTTACCATTATGTACTGGGTACATTTATATTATCACAAAGATATACAGTTTATTAGAAAGTCACTCAATGTAAGGAAGAGAAACTGGGACACCACTTACCATCCTACTCTGCAATAGCCTGTCTTCGTAGCCAGCTTTCCATATACATTCTCACCATTTTGGCCATCTCTTGGAATGTCTGAGGAAAAAGAAGTGGAGAACTGAGGTAAGGTGGCAGATGAAGCAAGGAGGCAATCAAGGCTGACAAGAGGATAAAGCTGATGGCCTGCAGAAAGTAGAGGGCAGGGGAAATGAAAATTGACTGGAGACAATGGAGAAAACACAGATGGAATCAAATAGGGGCAAAATCAACTACAAATTTTAAAAAACTGGAACCAGGACTCACCTATCCACTTACATTTTCCTATTTTATGGCCCTCCCTCCATAAATCTGACAGTGTTTTTGTCTAATGCATATATAGTACTTTAATATAAGAATTGTAGGTAAGGACCCATAAGCATCTTTTAGCCTATTGGAAGCAAAAACTTCCTAAAAGATTGCAATTTCATACCATACGCAACAATGGCTGGTTAATCATCTCTGGTATGCTGGCAAATTGGTTTGCATGTTAATGCCTTCCTTGTGCACTGACACCCATTGTTTCCATCAGGCAATTCAATAAGTTTCTGTCAGCCCTGGAGGCCATCTTTTTCTTTGGATCTTCAGGGCTGCTACACTTAGTGCTGTGGGAAACTGGGAGGGAGGATTGCATGAAGTTGCAGGGATATCTAGCCATAATAACATTCTTTTCTCTGAGAGTCAAGGACAGTTTCCTTAATTTAAGGACAGTTTCCTTAAGTTAGCTGAAGTGCTTAAGGCCTGATTAAAGGTGTTGTTTTTTTTAAGTACAATGGTATATATAAGGCAGTAGGTGGCACTGTACAACTAGCTACCAAACTTTCCCCTGGAATCGACAGCATTTACCTTGATTCTCATTTCCAGTGGCTTTCTTACAACTTCACCTGTTGCAATAGTGTATTATCTACATGGCAGCAAATATTGTGAGTAGCTCAGAATTACAGATGCAAGGAATTTTTAAACTGGGGGAAACTGAGAGGACTCTTCTCAATATCATTACTAGGGAAACTCCATTATTGGTCATTAGGGTCCCAAGAAGACGCTAGCATGAAACTCCCCCAGGAGTTTCCTATTCTAATCTGTTGAATGGAATGAGTTGCATGTAATAAGACATACTGTGCAACTCTCCAAAGCTTACACATGGAACAGAAATGAAGACAGATGATTTGCTAAAAAAAACAACCCATAAATCAGAGAAGATGGAGTTCCTTTACTTTTTCAGGGTGATATTTGACTTCTTGCTGATCCTTGCAAGTACCATAAGAACTTTTTTCTGTCTGAATATAAAATATAAAAGTTCTAGGATTCTAGAACATGCTCTAGAATCCATTGTTGTTCCTTCACATAGAAATGCCTGACCAGACAAGCTGAATATTGAAAAATAGTGAAATCTCCCTTAAATCTAGAAATTATACAATTCTATTACAATAGACCCCTTCATGGATTACTGCCTTGTCGCGGTGAAGGGGCTTGCATAGCTGAATGAAGCTATGAGCTATGCCATGCAGGGACACCCAAGATGAACAGGTCATAGCAGAGAGTTCTGACAAAGCGTGATCCACTGGAGAAGGAAATGGACACCCACTCCAGTATCTTTGCCATGAAAACCCCATGGACAGTACCAAAAGGAAAAAAGATATGATGCCGGAAGATGAGCCCCTCAGGTTGGAAAGTGTCCAATATGCTACTGGGGAAGAGCAGAGGGCTAGTACTAGTAGCGCCAAAAAGAGTGAAGTGACTGGGCCAAAGCCAAAAGGATCTCAGCTGTGGATGCATCTGTGGTGAAAGGAAAGTCTGATGCTGTAAATATTTTTTCTCCATAGGAACCTGGAATGTAAGATCCATGAATCAAGGCAAGCTGGACCTCATCAAACAACAGATGACAAGACTGAACATCGACATCTTAGGAATCAGCGAATTAAAATGGACAGGAATGGGTGAAATTAATTCAGATGACCATCAGGTATACTACTGTGGGCAAGAATCCCTCAGAAGAAATGGAGTAACCTTCATAATCAAACAAAAGAGTAGGAAAAGCAATACTGGGATACAATCCTCAAAATGACAGAATGATCTCAGTTCGAATCCAAGGCAAACCATTCAGTATCATAGTAATCCAAGTCTATGCCCCAGCCACTGGTGTTGAAGAGTATGGAATTGACCTATGAAGCCCTACAGCACCTTATAGAATTAACACCAAAAAATGATGTCCTCATCATCATGGGGGATTGGAATGCTAAAGTAGGAAGCCAAAAGATAACCAGAATAACAGGCAAGTTTGGCCTTGGAGTACAAAATGAATCAGGGCACAGGCTAATAGAATTTTGTCAAGAGAATGAGATGGTCATAGCAAGCACTCTTTTCCAACAACCCAAGAGACGACTTTACACATGGACATCATCAGACGGTCAACAAAGAAATCAGATTGACTATGTGCTCTGCAGCCAAAGATGGAGAAGCTCTGTATAGTCAGTAAAAACAAGACCAGGAGCTGACTGTGGCTCAGATCATAAGCTTTTCGTTGCAAAATTTAGGCTTAAATTGAAGAAAGTAGAGAAAAGCACTAGGTCACTCAGGTATGATCTAAATCATATCCCTGATGAATATACAGTAGAGGTGACAAATAGTTTTAAGGAATTAGATCTGATAGAGTGCCTGAAGAACTATGGATAGAGGTTCGCAACATTGTACAAGAGGTAGCAACTAAAACCATCCCAAAGAAAAAAAAAATAGAAGAAAGCAAAATGGCTGTCTGAGGAAGCTTTGCAAATACCTGAGGAAAGAAGGGGAGTGAAAGGCAAGGGAGAAAGAGAAAGATACACCCAGTTGAATGCAGAATTCCAGAGAATAGCTAGAAGTGATAAGAATACCTTCTTAAATGAACAGTGCAAAGAAAGAGAAGAAAATTATAGAATAGGAGGACCAGAGATCTCTTCAAGAAAATTGGAGATATGAAGGGAATGTTTCATGCAAAGATGGGCATGATAAAGGACCAAAATGGCAGGGACCTAACAGAGGCAAAAGAGATTAAGAAGAGGTGGCAAAATTACACAGAAGAACTATACAAGAACGAACTTGACGTCCCTGATAACCACGATGGTCACTGACTTCAAACCAGACATTCTAGAATGTGAAGTCAAATAGGCCTTAGGAAATATGAGCAACAACAAAGCTAGTGGAGGTGATAGTATTCCAGCTGAGTTATTTAAAATCTTAAAAGACAATGCAGTAAAAGTGCTACATTCAATTTGCCAGCAAATTTGGAAAACTCAACAGTGGCCACAGGATTGGAAAAGGCCAGTTTACATTCCAATTCCAAAGAAAAACAATGCCAAAGAATGTTCAAACTATCGCACCATTGCACTCATTTCACATGCTAGTAAAGTTATGCTTAAAATCTTACAAGCTAGGCTCCAGCAGTATGTGGATTGAGAACTACCAGAAGTACAGAGAGGATTTCGAAGAGGCAGAGGAACTAGAGATCAAATTGCCAACATACGCTGGATCATGGAGAAAGCATATGCTGGATCATGGAGAAAGCTAGGGAATTCCAGAAAAACATCTACTATTGCTTCATTGACTATGCTAAAGCCTTTGATTGTGTAGATCACAACAAATTGTGGCAAGTTCTTAAAGAGATGAGAGTACCAGACCATCTTATTTGTCTCTTGAGAAACCTATATGCGGGTCAAGAAGCAACAGTGAGAACTGGACATGGAACCACTGCTTGGTTCAAAATTGGGAAAGGAGTCTGGCAAGGCTGTATACTGTCACCCTGCCTATTTAACTTATATGCAGAGCACATCATTCCTGGCAAGAAATGGGGAAGAAATGGAGGTAGTGACAATTTTATTTTCCTGGGCTCCAAGATCATTGCAGATAGGGACTGCAGCCAAGAAATTAAAAGACACTTGCTCCTGGGGAGGAAAGCTACAGTAAATCTAGACAGCATACTAAAAAGCTGAGACATCACCCTGCCAACAAAAGTGTGTATAGTCAAGGCTATGGTTTTCACAGTTGCAATGTATGGCTATGAAAGTTGGATCATAAGAAAGGCTGAGCACCAAAGAATTGAACTATGGTGCTGGAGAAGACTCCTGCAAGTCCCTTGGACTGCAAGGCAATCAAACCGGTCAGTCCTAGAAGAGTTCAACCCTGACTACTCTTTAGAAGGCCAGATCCTGAAGATGAAACTCAAATACTTTGGCCACCTAATGAGAAGGAAGGACTCACTAGAGAAGAGCCTAATGCTGGGAAAGATTGAGGACAAAAGAAGGTGACGACAGAGAATGAGGTGGCTGGATGGAGTCACGCTGGATGGAGCATGAGCTTAAATGGACTGCAGAGGATGGTAGAGGACAGGAAGGCCTGGAGGAATGTTGTCCATGATGTTGTGATGGGTCGGACATGACTTCGCAACTAACAACAACAATTACAATAGAGTAATTGTAATACTCTATTGTAATAGGTGTATTTAACATAACCATGGCCAGCAATAGCTTTTGGCAAAAGACTGTGGGAATTATCTGGAAAGCACCAGATTATGTATTCCTCCTTGAGTACTTTTGGCAAAATGATATGTGACCAATTAGAGAAACCATATAATGCCTATTCACATTTTCCAAGCAGGCTCTGTATTCATTAACTACATCTTAACAAGGAAAAACATAAATTGAGCTTGCAGCTTCTCTCAACTAACTGAACAGAGGACAGTGAGGAAAACAAATCCAGGATGTTCTCATTTTAATTGCCAATTAGATAATGTCTGGGAATGAAGAAGCAAACCTTATTAGTAACATTTTGCATTTAGACCCTTCACTAAAAACAGTCATGAATCAACATGATAAATTAATAGGGATCATGAACATTGTAGTGTAAATTATCAATAAATACAAACGTAGACAATGCTTCCCTATGCTTCTGGGTATAGATTGCTTTGCTACATGAAGTAGCCTTATCCAGATGTTTCTAGGGCATATTTCTATGCTAGATTATGTGCATGCAGAGAAAGGACCATCTTGATGTGAATTTTGAAAAATGATCAGCAGTACCCTTCCACA